GAATTGTAATTGGAGAGCAAGGCTAGGGCTTGCTGGAAGGGCCTTTTCTATCACAGCCAGAACAGTTATCTTTATCCTGTCAGATGACTGGAAAACCATGGAAAATTTTATGCAGCACATTATGGGATTACTCTTCATTTTAGAGATTACTGTATTGATGTGGTATAAAAATTGCATTGAACATTCATGTCAATGTATGGCAAAAACCACTACAATATTTTAAAGTAATTAGCCTCCAATTAAAATGAATTTTTAAAAAAAGGAAAAAAAAATTGCATTGAAGAGGAAAGATGCTGAAGAATAGAAGCACTTTACATCCTGCATCTTACATGTAATAAATATATCTATATTTGGAATAAAAAAATCAATTCACCTCTCTGAGCTTGTTTTCCCATTTGATCAATGCAGCTAATAGTCTCTGTCCTATAAAGTTGTTGGGGAAATTAAATGAGTCCATTCATGTAAGACGGTTAGTAAGGGCTCAATAATATTACTGTTATTAACTTTGAAATTGTCTAAGGAAAGCTTTTAACATGAAGAAAATGTAAGGGGTGGATGATTCTGCAAAAATGCAGTGAATGCAACAGGGAGAAAGAATGATACAAGTGCTTGAGAGAAAAGAGCCTTCTAAGACCTTAAAGAAAGTGTTTCCAGGTAGGAGGGAGATGTCAAAGGAACAAGTGCCATGGGTGAGGTTCTGTGAATGATGACCAAGGTGAGTGTGTTGAGTTTGGCTGTTAGGAGATCACTGGTGGGTGAGGACAGGGCATTTATGAATGTGGGGTTGGTGAAGGTTGGATCAATAGCTAAACCACCCGCCAAACAAAGATTCCATGACTTGGAGACAGGTGGCTGTGTGTTTTAATGAGAATCTAGATTATGTATATGTTATACACACACATATAAACTCAATATGAGGGAGATTATCAAGGTAGCAAAGAGGGTGTGCAGGAGTCAGGGTTCTAGAATCAGTCCTGCTGATACCTCTACCAGTCCCATCACCTGGACAAGCCTCTTCTTTGGGGGCCTCGGTGCCCCAACCATAAAGAACAAGGAGATTGATCAGGTGCTCTTCAATATCTCTCAGTTCTAAATGCCCACATTTAAACTACTCAGTGAATTATCATTTCAAGAAAGTATTATTTCAAGATGGCAATGTCTCAAAGTGCATTCTTCATCTACTAACAACTCTAATGGGTCCTAACAATGTCTTAAACTCTGAAGTAGAATTATTATCTAGATTAGCATGACTTAAATAATATATTGTCCCCAAAACAAGAAATTTCTCACCGGTATCACACTTATATATAGGTATTCATTCAACATTGGATGACAGCTCTGTGCCAAACACACCTTTATGTGTAAGATAGAAAGGACCTAACATCCCAGACAAGTTGTGAGGACAAATATATAAATGTCAATGCTGTGTGGGAGCAGAACAGCAGATGTGTCTGGAAAAGTCACAAGTGTTCTTTCTAGGAGTAAGGTGTCAAGTTTAGTACAACATATGCTTTCTTCTTTCACAAATTGTTTAGTATTTCTAGTATGCATCTGTTATTCTTGAAATTCCCTTTATCTTTTTTGGCTCAGTAATCAAATTGAGCTTTTGAAGGAAAAGAAAATAATTCATTTATTTTTATATGATGTAGTGTGATTGCCTTTATTGCTCTTATATGAAGAAAAACAAAGTTATATGCTTTGTCCTTTATGTTTATTTACTGTTAACACTGACAGTTAATAATTCTGATATGACTTTCAGTTTATTAGAAATCATTTTATTGTGTAACATCCCAGGACTTTATGAATAATGATGAGTATTGGAAAGACTATTTGTACATTTGAATATGATATAATATTCAGTTTTTAGGTGTATTGCAGATACTGTTCATGACACCAATTGTCTCACTGTTCACACTGTTCACTGAAATCATGGTAGGCAAGGCGCAAGCTAAGAGGCTGGAAGAAAATGTGAGGAACTGTAGGAACTGCAGACACATTTATTCTCTCCTGGGTGGAACAGCAGCCCTAGCAGCAGACATAACATAACACAACATAACTGCACAGAACCCTTCCGGGCTATTCCAGGTGAAGCATATACAGGCGAACATGAAGTAGCCCGTGACTAAGCGGGTAGCTCGTGATGTGCATGCGCAGTGCTTTAAGTGAGCTCAGCTGTAGCCCAAACCTCCTGATGCAAATACGCAGTGCTATAAAGGAGCTCAGTGGTTACAAATGGATCTCATTATTTATAAAACGTGGGGCAAGAGAGCCTGACCACACTATCTCGGCTAATTTGCCCTCTCCCCACACTCCACCCCTTCAGGGTCTCTCACTTCACATTCTATACGGAGTCCATCTTCTGTGATATGCCTTTGGTGAGTAACACTGACCCTTGGATCTACATCTTGGAACAGCATTAGCTACAACAACAAAGAGTTACATCCCCAATACATAGCAAAACCCAATGCCAGGTATCGCCTGGAGCTCATGTTACAGTCCTTACCCTCATGGGGCTAGAACCACCCACCATATGTGGAGTGCCTTTATCTTGCATGGCCAAGTCCAGTCTACCATCTGTCCTTGTGAAATTGCAGGAAAGCCTCCACAGGGGCAACTCTACCCCTATGGGTGTTTTTTCTTAAGGACCCAGAAAACCCCACAGGCGTCAGGCCCACCCCTTCAAGGAGGGCATTCACAGCTCACCCACAAGATTCCAAATGCTTTCACAGTGTTCCAAATCTGCAAGAGAGTCAAAGGTTAGTAACACATCATAGGACACAGCCTTTATACATTGTTGTGGGGAGAGACTTTCCAGCCTCTTAGCTCACGCCTTGCCCTCAGCAGTGTGAACAGAGAGACAACTGGCGTCCCCAACAGGATTAGCAATACAACTGTTCTACTGAATCTACAGCATGGGACACACAGCATAAATTTACATTATACACCATAGGACACAGCCTTTACGATATGCCTCGGCACAAATCAAACCACATTGGTATCTGCATATCTGATGGAAGCCCTGCTAGCTCAGGGCCCCTTCAGGATCTTCACACTTTCAAAATAATGTCTAGCATGCCATCTCTTTACCACTCCTAAGCTAGCCACCATGGAGGTCACCACGTCGATGGGGCGCCCAACCCAGGGTGCCGGAATAGCAGTCAGGGATCCAGAAGAGGTCAAAGGGCACTGTTCAAAATGGCGTCTGGCACACCATCCCTCTACTTCTCTCAAGCTAGCCACCATGGAGGTCGCCACCATGGAGGTCACCACCTAGATGGGGCGCCCCACCCAGGTTGCGGGAATAGCAGTCAGGGATCCAGAAGAGGTCACCGGGGCACTGTTCAAAATGGCGTCTGGAGTGCCGCCAGCAAATCACTCATCATCTGGGCCTCAGGCATCTGGGTTACATAGCGACTGCCTCATGCCCAGTTCTCTCGCCACTTGGGTCAACGCGGCAGTTATACCTTTTACTCCCAGCATCCTGGGGCTCTCCCACGTTCACCCTCATGGTGCAGATGGCAGTGTCAATCCATTCCATGAGGGTGTGCGTTGGCTTAGGCGCCCCCTGCGTGAGCTGCCTAGCATTCTGCCTCGATTGTCTCGACGAGGGGTGAATGGCTGTCGCCATTCTGCTCCATCCCCCAAACACAGGATACTGTCCACCTGTGTCCCAAAGTCACAAAAGCCATACTGCCAAGGGTTCCACTCGCCTTTGCCGAAATGGCGTACAAAAGGCAATCAACTCCGCCTGAGTAAATGGTCGGTATGTTGTGAACTCAGTCACATTGGGGGCCCCTTGAGGACGCGCACCCCGGACCATAGGCTGCTCATGCTTCACCTTCTGCTGCACAAAAGGTCTCGCTGCCAAGTGGGGACGCGCGGTCTCATAGCATTAATATCACCATCACTTACCGCCTTGCTGTCCGAGATGCTGACTTCTTCAGGGCCACTGGCTTCTTGCTCTAATGCCAATATATGTTGCTCTAGTTCTTCCAAGTGACTCTGCACATTGCACACCAACGCAGCACTACCCATATTCACCTGCAGGGTAGTCAAGAAAATCTGCCCCACGTTGCCAGCAGTAGTCCTTGCTGCCTTGCTGGGCAAATGGGAACTCGTTGCCTGTAATGCCTTTTCAGTGCCATCCGGTGAACCGTCCACCGCCTCCCAGTCTTCCACTGGAACCCATCCGAGAGGATCGTGGCCACGTGGTACCACATGCTATGGGGTGGCCGCTGGCTTCCTCCATCCAGTGGAGTCTCCGGCTCTTCTACCTGCTGGGTATCCTGCCACCTCTTCTGTGGAGCCTCAGGCTCCTCTACCAGCTGGGTATCCTGTTCACTACACCAATTGTATTGCTGATCCTGTTCATGACACCAGCTGTCTCACTGTTTACACCGTTCATTGAACCCATGGTAGGCAAGGTGTGAGCTAAGAGGCTGGAAGAAAATGTGAGGATCCATAGGAACTGCAGACACGTTTATTCTCTCCTGACTGACACGACAGCCGCAGCAGCCGACATAACATAACACAGCATAACCACACACAACCCTTCTGGGCTTTTCCAGGTGAAGCATATACAGGCGAACACAAAGTAGCCTGTGACTGAGCGGGTAACTCGTGATGTGCATGGGCGGTGCTATAAATGATCTCAACTGTTACATAGTCATTGTTTACAAAATGTGGCGTGAGAGAGCCTGACCAGCCATCTTGGTTTGCTCTCTTCCCCACAATAGGCATGTTCAAATGACGTTTTTTTTATTTTTAATCCTAAGCTTTCTTTGGAAAGTGCTTATTTTCTGTGAGGATTTTGTAGAGAATGAAATGAAAGCTAGTAGCGTTTTCTTTCTGAAGACATCTCTAACATTTCAATAGACACCACACTTAAAAAAAAAAAGACAGCTCTCTTCAGTCAGAGAGCTGCGTTTCAGGATTGCTTATTGCCAGCATTTAAAAAATACACACCATGGGTGTTCAAGTCCCTTTGTTTTAAATTGCAGCACCCTATGAAATATGCCCAGAGGATTATCTGATGTCGATGGTGTGGAAGAGGACTCCAGCAGGCGACTTGGCCTTCAATCAGTGCCCGATGAATGCCACAGGTAATGTAGGATGACCTTCAAACCCAGATGATGACCACCCACCACCAGCAGCCTGCTGTGTTCTTCTGTCCTGTTTTGTCCTATATCTAAAAATAAGTCTGTCTAATAAGCAGTTAATAAAGCAATTTTAGTAAAGGGCTTCGTAAGTGGAACCTATGAAGAGATCTGGAAAATCTTCCCGATTTCAATGGTTTCTCAGTGTGAGTAATATGCATTGTGAAAATAATCAAAGGAACAATTTACATGCATGTTTAGAGTGTGAAAATGTGCAAACCCAGGTTTCCAGCCTGCCTCTAAGCCTCCCTGTCGTAAAGCTCTCTGTTTTTGTGACTCGCAGGCACCGCTAGCAGACGCTGCTCGCTCAGTCTTCACGGAGTGGCCTTCTGGGAACAGCCGAGCTTTGCAAGATGCATATCAAATGAGTACAGACACTTGCAGCATTCAGTAGGTGCAAAGCCAGCTTTAGTACTTGCTCTGTTTAATTCCTGTTAATGATCTCTGTGTGAGAGTTTAGTCTGCTGCTATATAATCAAATCGGTAAAATCTCTGAAAATAACTCCTGAAGTAAAAAAGCCTGTGCTAGAAAGCTAAATTTTATAAATCAGTGCTAAACTGTTTTATTCTGAGGGTTTGGGATTTTATGGATCCTGCTTGGATCCTGCTATTTAAATGAATGGATTCCTTGTCTATTGGGGGAAAGTCCTGAATAAAATCTGTTACTCGGGTTTATCTATGAGTTAAACTATATATATCATGACTGGCACAAATCAGTTGCCTAGTGCATAAGACTTATTTCAAAATACCATAAATTTTAAAATTAAATTCTTTAATATTTTAGTACTCAGGAAATAATAAAGCTGTGTCATATAGGTATCAAAAATTTCACTGCATTTTGACATTAAGACACCAAAAAAAAAAAAAAGACAGTGTTATTTTATCAGAGAAAATCAGTTACTCACAAAAGATGACATGGGAGAAATTTCCAGAAATAGCCCCTCTTCTCCCACACATCATTGAATTATTCAGAATATGCTATATGGTTATTTTGAGCACAGTTAAATGTTGTTAGGTTTTTTTACCAGTGCAAGTCATTGTCATTTTTGGAGACTGTTGTCATTCATCCTGACAGTCAAGAAAGCTTCCTGTGTGAACAAACATTACGGGGCTCAGAACAAAATACAAGGCAGAGCCTTGGAGAACACAACATTGGAGGGATGCTGTGCAGTTAAGAGCCCTGAAGTTTTGTTGTGCTTATATTTTCCTTCATTTTCTTAGTGCTGCTCACAAATAAGCATAATTTAAAAAAAAAAAAAGAGCTTTCTTGCTCATGGATGAAGAAGTAGCTTGTGCAATAAGAATGCTTATTAATGAAGTGAATATATTTGACTCATTATCAGTAAACCAAAAAAGCACATTTTAAAAATATCTGAAAACCAAATTCTGTCTAGTATGTTTACTTTCTAAATCAATAATCAAACTGATGATTTATTTGGCTACATAGAGCCTTATTTCTGTTGTTGTGTATATATACATTTATGTATACACATATATGTGTACATGGGCTCCCCTGGTGGCTTGGATGGTAAAGAATCTGCCTGCAATGTGGGGAACCTGGGTTCAGTCCCTGGGTTGGGAAGATCCCCTGGAGGAGGGCATGGCAACCCGTCCTATATTCTTGCCTGGAGAATCCTCATGGGTAGAGGAGCCTGGCAGGCTATAGTACATGGGGTCGCAAAGAGTCAGACATGACTGGGCGACTAAGCACAACACACGTATGTGTATATACATACTTGCTATTATATATATACACATTAATACAATTATACACAAATACATATATTTAATAATATACTTATGTGCATATAAGTATTTGGTGATATTTGACCTCACTGAGCTTTACTTGTGTCAAAATTAAAATATTTCAGAATTAAGTATAACCAAAGACTTTCTTATGAGTTTAATTTTAAATGAATTTTATTTTTGCCTAATTCCAGACATGATACTTTGTTTACTTCATCTTAATATTCATATTTAGTTCTTATTTATTTATGGTAATAAATGAGAATAATTGTATCAATTAAGTAAACCATAGATCAAGTCTTACAAATTTGTTAAGAATGAATAATATCATTTGGCGTAAAATGTTTGCTTTTTAAATTCATCATTTTGTACAGTAATACTTAAATGTACTTGCCTTCTGTGAGTACAGGTCATCTGCTAATGAAGAGAAATAGAAACCAACTGCGAAATAGGAGAGATGGTCTCATGTTGTGAGTCACGTAGAAATCATTCAGTTACTGATTGGACAGCCCATGTGTCTGTGCCCCTGCTCACTTGCAGGCAGAAATCAAGTGCCCGGTTTTGTAGAATAAGAAACAGCCTCAGGGCATTCAGCTCCCACATATGACCAAGCAAACTCGACTGGGCACTTTCACAGATTAATTCCAGTCCCCACCACCACCTGCAATATGGGCATCCCTGCCTCAGTCCCATGGAAAGAAATTGAATATCCTGGGAGCAGTCCAGTTAAGTCAGGCAAGAGTGAAAGCTGCATCCCAGGCGCAATTGTTCCAAAGCTTAACCTTCTTTCTGGAAGTCATGCTCCCTTCTGAGTCTTTGATTTTAAATCCTCTGCCCTAGTGCTATAGGCACCATTTGCTGATTGTATGTCCTTTGGAAAAGTCATGTGATCTCATTCAAGTCTTGGTTTGCTATTTGCAAGATGAAATTGATAGCATCATCTTAACATCTCTGGAGGTTTTGAGTAAGAGTAGATGAGATACTGTATGTGAGATGTTTGCAATGTGCTATGTAAGTATGAGGTATTAATATCTACAGGTACAGAAAATGGGTTAAGTTAAAAAATTAAGAGTAAAATTTTAGAATTTAAGTTAACTTGAAATGTACATGTGAAAAATTACAGACAAATACGGATGAATGGATAGATAGAAAGGCAGGCAGGTGGGTAATTGAATGGATAGATGGATGGATAGTTTTGATGTCATATGTATTTTTGCATGTGAATTTGGTTTATATGCACATACAGAAACACACACACAGTTATACATGCATACAAACATGCATCTAGTACTTTCCTGGGGACCATGGTCTTCTCCTTTACAAATTCAGGGAAATATAGCACCAAAGGATGCCTTAAAGAGTGTTTACCTAGTACATGGAGCTCATCATATGTACTCTGAAAGATCAGTTGGAGATGGGAATTAAATCCTTTTCTTTGCATGCTTATGGCTTCACATACTTTGTCTGAGTAACAAAGCTAGGTAGTACTTCAATGTAGAATAGTTCTGATTCCCCAAACTTCTGAAATTGCTTTTGATGATTCTGCATCTTCTCTTCTAGTAGAATTTGTTTCACAATTTAATGTCCTATTTCTCTTGGGGTATTTAATTTCTTGCTGCTCTACATTTGTGAAACTCATTAAATGTTAATTGTCACCCACTGCAGAGACTTATTTAAAATAAATAGATCTGTATTTTCCAGCTTTTCACATATAGATCACAATATATGTGCACACACACATAGATTACAATATTTTATATACACATTTTTTAAAATTACATGAAGACTAAGTTTGAAATGACATATTGCCAACAAACATTAGTTGAGTGCATTCATGACCTCTTCTATACCAGTTGAGGTAGAAAGGAATCATTAATTAATTTAATATATGAACTTACTCATCTGTCATATTGAATGTTCATTGAATTCTTTGAGGACAGAAATCATTTCTATTAAGCTATATTTCTCTAATGTCCAACACAGTGCTAAATGTGTTCTAGCATTCCATAAATGACTGCACCTTTTCTTATCAGAACGGGGATGTGCCAGCTGGAGGTTCTAAGAAGGTTTCATTGTTCACAAGATTTCATGTTTGTGAATTTTAACCACGTGAAATTAATAATACTATCCCTCACCTGCAATTTTCCTACTCCAAAACCATCTAGAAATGTGGAGTAATTTACAAGTTTACTTTATGAAATAATTTGGCCATTCAAGAAGAATTTCAATAAGCTGAACTTCATGAAGTCTTTTTGGAAACTTTGTAAGATACAAAATTGAACACTGTGATCCAACTACTGCTTATTTAAAAAGTGACAAATGAACACATATTTTAAAAAGTGAGAATAAAGGAATGAAGTGTTTAATGTAGTGGGATTTTTGGAGAATTCAGTTTTTTTTTCCATATGCTAATATTTAATTTCATACTCTGAGATACTTTTTGAATTTTATACCCAGCAAGAAAGAAAAAATTTCAGAACCGATTGAGAACTAGGCACAGGGACCAGGAACATTAAGAATACTGTTTTTTTTTTTTTAAACTTATTAAATTATTTGGGGAAAATGGGTGATATTGCAGGCCAAGTGGGCCAGTTCCCAACCCCGAAATTAAATAGACCATTTAGTCTTTCTTATACCTGAAAAATCAAGATAACTCTTTCTCCCCCTTCCTCTCTAATTCTCTCATTCTCTCCCTCTCATTCTGTCTTATTCACATTCAAGTTCATACTTACACATACACACACCTGAAATGACAGATGACATAGAAATAGCAGTTCTATAACAAAAGGAGTTGAGCCAGACATGCCAATGCTGTCTCATAAATTCATCAGGCAGAAAAGTCACTCCTTCCATGGAGAGGAGAGTGTGATTGGGGACTGAAAAAGCTCGCAAATATTCCTCTATATTCACAGAAATAGAAAGAATTGGTATAAAGGTTTCCTTTAAAGTCATTCTGCCTTATAACCTCTGTTTCCTATTTTTCAAACTGTCATTTAACAGTGAATAAATACAGAAACTAGAGCAATAATCTGTCTAGTCACAGAAGAGGTTGACTTTGTGGGAAAGGATGTCAAGAAGCTTGATTTGTGGTTTAAGGACTTTGTTTCTTCTGTTTTGCTCTACATTTGTGGCTGTTTATTAGGAGAGAGAGAATGGTAGAGATGGATGGAGTGGGAAGTCGGGGGAGATGGAGCACGACAGAGAGGCTGAGGGGGAGAATGGGCTTGCTGGATCTTGCAGGATCCAGGGGAAGGAAGGTGGGAGATTCACTCAACAGTGCTGACACTCTGTTCACTAGTCCCTCAGTTTATTACACATGATAAGCACACAACACAGAGTTGTGAAAACAGAAGTTCAGTTCAGTCACTCAGTTGTGTCCAAATCTTTGTGAACCAGGGACTGCAGCACGCCAGGCTTCCCTGTCCATCACCAACTCCTGGAGCTTGCTCAAACTCATGTGCATTGAGTTGGTGATGCCATCCAATCATCTCATCCTCTGTCATCTCTTTCTTCTCCTGCCTTCAATCTTTCCTAGCATCAGGGTCTTTTCCAATGAGTCCATTTTTTGCATCAAGTGGCCAAAGTACTGGAGTTTGAGCTTCAACATCAGTCCTTCCAATGAATATTCAGGACTGATCTCCTTT